GAGTCGCAAATCGCCAACCTAAGATATGAGTTAGAATCATGTAATTTCCCCACAATTTATGAGATAGTTCTGACCTTCCGCTCCAAGATGCCAATGTACCGAGGAGAAAGAGATGAAGTCCTCAAGACCCTTGAGTTTCCGGGTGATCAAAGTCCGGTGAGCTAGTAGATAATCAGTCACAGATCGAGTGGCAAGTTAACTTGAAGCTATATCATACCCCAGGGACAGGCATAAGACACATAAAGATGGTATCGGCCCTTTTCTGGAGGGAATTGGGCGCCGGCCTCTCTAGATATCCAGTTCCGGAAGACGGATTGCTGACGTTTGAATTCGCCCGACTTGTCGCCGGGTTTCACCCAATCAGTAATGTTCATGGAATTTCCGGTCTTCAATTATAAGTTAGTATAACAATTGGAGCTCTTGTAGCCGACCTAGTTTTGTTCTTACAGCCATATTGCGGGAATAGATGATTGGTGCGGGGAACACAAAGCTTTGATAAGCTGCACGAAGAGGATTTGAACGGAGGATTGGCTGTGAAAGATGCCGCAGTGGTTGAGATCTTAGAATAAAAAACATAAGCGGCAGAGAAGAATTTACCCTTATATATAGAGGAAGAATAAAAATGTCCGGGGGTGATGACGTCCCATGACAAAATGCTGAGTCAGATTTGCTTATCGGACGATCCATCAGCTTTGACAAAGCGATCTGGATGGTCTTGGCAAAGCCTTTGATATTGTAATTTGTACAAATACATTATGGATAGTTTACATTGTAAATTGCGCATATCTAGGCCAAAAGACAGTGGAGAGTGGAATAATCATGATTTCTAGCTACTGTACTAGCAATATGTAGCCGATGGGCTTTTCGTACATTCTGATCCCCCTACGTGAGCTTCACCATCACATAAGGAACCTCAACATCCTCTTCTGTCTGGTCCTCTGCGGTCACCTCGAAAATGATGTTCTTCTGGTGCTCGGGGACCGGCTTCTTGCTGACGTGCTCCACAAGCTTGCTCATACTGTATGGTACAATGTTAGTGCTTTGGCTCACGCATGGGGTTATATAAGGGATACTCACGGCAGAGGAAGGCGATCCTTGACCTTCGATGGGGGATAGAAGCTTGCATACAACAAGCTGACTCCAGAGCTGACCATGGTGATGTCCAAGCCCTTCTCGGCGAAGAAGTCGAGGAACTCCTGGAGGGGAATATCTCCCACCTCGAATCGGTCCCAGAGCTTGTCGATTGTGACCTCGCCTTGCTTGCCTTGGTACTTCCCCTTTTCACTAGCGATCGGCTCGCTGAAGCTAAATAGAGGAAGGGCCAAATTAACGAAGCCGTTTTTGTATTGCTCGATGTCGTCCTTGCCGTCAACAACCTTGTATAGTTCGAGAGCAACAAGACCGGTGGCCAGGGCGGTAGTGGTGGCAATGGCTGGGATGATCTTTCCGGCGATGAATTTGGTCTTGTGTCGGTCGGCCTGAGGGATCTCGTAGTTGTCTGCACGGAGGTTGCTAGCCGCAGTGATGAAGTCAATGTGGTGGTTGGTGTCATCATCCTTCTCAAACTCAACTGGCTGCAAGCGGAAACCAGCAAGAGACTTGGGAGAGGGAAGAGATGCGACAAGTTTCTGGATTTCCTGCTCATCACTAGACGAACTAGATGGCTGGGCATTCGGATCAGGGTCGTTTTCATTGGCCTGAATCTTCACATTTGAGCTCGGGGTGAACTCGGGGACGATCATGTCATCGACTACCTTGCGGTAATAGCCCTTGTCCGCACCGGGGTTCTTGATACCATAGTTGAATGCATGGAGATTAGCGCCAGCAATGACAAATCCGAGATGAGTGGGATTAAGGCTGTCGAACTTCAAGGGTGTAGGGGCGCGCTTGGGTCCAGACCAGAATGGTTGGCCGGATGATGTCTTGGAGTCTCGGGGGAAGTTGTAGAGAAGCTGCTGGATTGCGTTGTTGTACTGTGCTTCGAATTGTTGTCGGGCCCACACAATACAATCATCGAAAGTCAGAGGTTTTTCAGTGACCAAGAAGTCACGCAGGTGCTCCAAAGTCTGCTTCTCATTACCTGCCTGCTTTAGGGTCTGCTGAATGTAGTCAGGTTGCGAGAGGTACATGTTGACTGATTCAGGTGGACCGACAAAGTAGGTCTGGAAGACATCCCTTGCCCATGCAATAGTGTGCTCAATGCGGTTCGGGAAACTCTTCAGGGTACACATAGGGAACGACTTCTCCGGGGGATCCTGAGAGCTGGAATATGACTCTGTGATGAAAGGAAGGACGACCTGAGTGTTACACTTGGTGCCCAGGGTACCACTCTCCAGCAACGGCTTGCGGAAGAAGACACAGCGGCGATCGACATATGTCCGTGCATCGACATTATCCAAAGCGTTTGTCACACCATCAAGGCCGTTCCAGAAATCCTCATTGAAGACGTGTTCAGTGTCGGCACCGACACGATCACGAAGAGTGACGATCTTACCCTCCAAATCTGAGTTCATTGCTTGAGCTGCCGCAGACGCGCACTCACTCTTGAGTCTACCAACATCCTTGGGACGGAAGAGGAATTGGCGGTTAAGATTGCTCTTCTCAATCTGGTCCATATCGGTAACGTAAATCTTTCCTTTGGGGCCCGTACCTAGACCCATCATGGCCCAGTTCTTCAGCGTCTCGCAGCCAATAGCACCGGAACCGACCAAGAATTGGGTGACGTTGGCAAGCTTGTCTTGGTATTCTTTGCCAAATACCGCGATTTGACCATCGTAACGGGTACCAAGAGGCTTGCAGCTCTCTTCGGATCGAGTAACCGATGAAGGCAAAGATTCCAAAGAGTCGAAGTACAACCACTGATGCACAGGACTGAACTTGCCAGACACAGCCTTCAGAACTTCCTGGGCGGCGATGCCACCGAAGAAAGCTGCCAACGGATTCAGATCACCACGGGCCTGGTAGCTCAACTCCTTGATTATCTTCTCATCCAATTCAACTTTTTCCTCACCAGCAGCAGCAAGGTCCTTAGCAATCTTTAGAACCTCCTGGGCATCGCTATCATTGTGAGGACGAGGCAATTCGCGATCATGAGTCTCCGCAAACTTATGAAGAGCCTGGATACCGATGTGCAATTGCTGTGGCCGGTCAAACTTAGCAAAGTCGGACATGAGAATGTCGGGCTTCTTAAGTTGATCCTCTAGTGGCTGGAAATCTATGAAGTTGGGCATCTTGACCTGACTGAATAGACCTCCACCCTGGTAGGATCCAAGACCGGAGACATCGCCAATAGAGAAAGTATAGGGACCCTTCACAGTGACTTTGCGAGGATCACTGTTGTTTAGGCCATCCATACCCTTAACTTCAGTGAAAGTGACGAAGTCGCCATCCTCGAGTCCATGTCTAGTCTCATCGAGCGCTGAAACCAAACCTTCCTCATCGATATCCGCCACGATTCCAGCAGCAGGATCTTCGCCATTCGGATCGCCCACGGTGAAGTTCTTTCCAAAGTCATTGAAGATATAACCAAAGAGACCAAAGGTATCCGTAATTGTGAGGTAGATTTTGTTCTTGTGGCAGAAGTCGGCAATAACCAGTTGCTCCTTCAAAGGCGTCTGCGTGAGCACCACTGCCTGGTAGCGCTTTAGTTGTTCGAGATCGCCCACGAGACTCTCGCCCTCATGGACAGTAACAGGAACGTAGGAGTTCAACTCGGCAACTCTTGGGGCGGTAACTTCAGCACGGGGCTTGCCGACGTCCTCTGGCTGGAGGAAAAACTGCGAAGAAAGATCCGAGATAGCGGCTGGGGCGGGGTCGTATAGGGTGAGGGATTTGACACCAGCAAGGGCGATGTTCTTGGCTGTGGATATAATCAGTTGTTGGGAAGAAAACAAGGGTTGATTAATGTTCGAATCACATACCGATTTCCACACCCAAGCCCTTGAGGCCTACGACGAGAACATTGGAAGAGCCCATGCGCTTCATGGCCTCGTGGCCAAGAACGTATCTCCAAGGCGTCAGTACATACCGGACTGTTACAGAGGGATACAGCGCGCTTACAGCTGTCGACTATACAATGATTCGTCGATTTCCCCATGCTTGATCGCTTCGATGGTCTCCTGGGGGTTATCGACCTGCATCTTGGTGTCCTTTGGTGAAATATTTTAGTGGCCATCTTATCTCTAAGATCAAATTACCATACCGTCATGGTTCTTTTATCTGGCCGAGCTCCGACGTCGTCTTCAGAGGCTCTGCGCTTTCCGGGCTTAGCCGCGTCTCGAACAGGAATATTTGAAGGAATGATGAAAGTCAGGAGGTGAAAGCCTTGCAATGGAGCAAGTCTTTCAATAGTGATGATAAATCAAGTTGCAACGCCCAGCGTACCAGGTACCTAGCTCAACGAGCACGGATAAGAGTAGCAATCCGAACGCAATCGACGGATAAGAGAGGATAATGGAAGATAAGAAAAAATGGAACGCTGTGGGAGGTAGGAGGTGCGAATAAGTAAGGGACAAGTCAGTACAAAAGTAGAAGAGAGATCAAGAGAGGAGGGACACCGACGTAAGAGGGGTGGCCCGACAGCTAAGAGATGACTAATGGGCGGTGAGAGGCCGATTGGCCTTTAGCCCCGCGATACAATAAACCGCTGGGAGCTATTGTTCTCAAGCTACAGAGTGTCTTGTTGAGAATTGGAAGCTGTGGTACATCTAGATAAGATTGGGATTGACTCTGGAGAATGACCACCATCCCTATCTTGTCTGATTGGTTCTGAAGCCTGCCTTTCTACACGCCACGTTTGACGCGCTGCGGCATCAACGCGAAGCTTACCGCCATCAAACGCTTGACTTCATATGTGTCGCTTTGAATTTGTGGGGCGCGGTCTATTATACTGGCAGCGAAAAACCTGCCCAGTGAAGAGAAGGCATTTCTCTAGGTGAGTTTTCCACATCTACACCTGTGATCAGCTCGTGATTGACAGTCGATAGGGAACTCTCGTCAGAATGCTCCATGAGATCCTACTCTCCCTCTCCGGCCAGCCATCCCCCCTCTTCAATACCCAGAAAGGGGAAAGCTCTTTCACTCAAAATGGGTTTCCCCTTCTTTCACCTCCGGAGAAAGCCCTCCTCGCCTCCGTTGCCCACCTGAGCCAGCTCCACACACAGCTCCGGAAACATGCCTCCGATATATCTTCCGCGAACCCATCTGTGATATGTCGCTCAGTATCTACAGCTATTGTTGGAACACATCTAGGTGAATTCCAGAAGAAGATCCTAGAGGTTGAGAAGGCAATCCTTGCCGAGGACAGTGGATATGTCGGAGGGTATGGTATTGTCCCATTGTCGACTATCGTGGGAGAATTTGCACCATGGACGCGGCGCATGGAGTGGCTGTGGGCTGTTATTCGGTTCATTCAACCCGACAGTATAAGTGCTGAACCTCTGCGTGGTTCTACAGGGGCAGCACTCATGGATCATCTGCGGACCGAAGCCCAAACAGGATATCTCGACATTAAGGAGATGGCCCTGCAATTGGCGACATCGGCTGAGAGAGCATGGATGAAGCAGCTTTCAATGTGGTTACTTTATGGCAAACTTCCTATCTACGGGAAGGAAGATTTCTTCATCCAGGAGGATACCGAAACGGAGCATGATGAAGCACAATTCGGCATCAACGCTCGATTGCTCCCAAATTTTGTCACTGCACAAACGGCTGGCTCAATACTATTCATTGGTAAATCCCTCAATCATATTCGGGCGGAAAGGAAAACTTCAATAACAGGGAACTCTACTACGCCGGTGACGTTATATCGGGAGCACATCGAGCAACTTGAGGGCCTGAAACCACCAATCTCGCCTTCAAAACTGACTACCGCCGTTGACTGCATTCGCCTTTCCCTTTCTCAATCAACCTTATCGAAATTGTTGCCCCTCCCGAAAATCCTCGAAATCCTTACGTTGCTTCAAAATTTCCTTTTACTAGGACGAGGGGAGTTTGCGGTGGCTCTTGTAGCACATGCAGATTCCCGAATTGAGGAAAGTCGGCGCCGAGGCCCATCGGCGACCCGTCAATTAGGAAAACTTGACGTTCTTACCATCAAAGAAGGTGAAGTCACGGCTGCTTTAGCTGAAGCATGGGCAGAGCTGTTCTCGCTACAAAAAGAGGAGGACCCAGCCGACGAAGAGCTTGAACTTGCCCGGGAGCTTCTTTGTCTGTCTGTCAGCGGCCGCAAAAATGGCCGGCCGATGACCCCTGCTCAAACTCCCAACTTGATATCCAAAATCTCAAAGGTCTCATTTGAGGATCTCCTCTTCCCCATGGCCACAAATCTCATCGCACATATCCGAGCCCCTCTAGACCTATTCATCTCGAGCTCTGATATTGTGATATATTCTAAAATTCATTCGTATCTCCTGGGAATACGGCGGGCTCAAATCCGGCTTGGAGATCTCTGGAAACGAACTCCGTTACGGCGAAACTATCCTACACCATGGGGACCACCCAGAAGCAGCAGCATGTTTGGCCAAGCTAAGTTAAAGGAGAGAAGAGATAGAGATAATGCACGTGTTCACCAAATGCGCCATATATGGGCCACAGCCAGTGCATGTCTGTTTATGCTTTCCGAGATCGGTGGCTTTTTTCAAGGAGATGTCGTCAATGAGTCGTGGCAGCACCTTCGCCAATGGATTGAAGGATGCTCTTCGTCCACAACATCAGCCCCTGGATCCCGCCCTGGAACCGCTTCCTCCTCTAAATCGCATCAAAGTTCCAAGATAGTGTCTTCCGAGTCTGGCCAGCAGACCATGGGACGACACGACCCTGAAGCTCTCACGGTTGCCCACCGTCGGCACTTGTCGTCTCTAGTACAATCCCTCTTTTTGACCGACCTACCCTTCACAAACACACTGAGGGGACTTCTCACTAATATCGACCGCTTCGTCGCTCTTGTGATCCGTTTGGAAACCATCCAACGCAACATGGACCTGGAAACAGACGAAGGCGTGGAAGACGCCTTGGTAGATTATGCCCATGAAGAACGTGAAGTATGGGAAGAGCTACGCGCCACTCGAACCGATGTCGAGGCAGGCATCAAGAATCTTATTGGGAGCCTGCGGAATATTGACGATAGTCGCTCGGGAGAAGGGCTAACGACAAACCTCGGTCCGATGTGGCCTGGTTCCCGCCAAGATGACAGCACGAGCCCTGGATTCAGCCATTACGTGCCTCACAAAGCAGCGGGGGTGGACCGTTTGCTCATGAAACTAGATTTCGGCAGTCTTCGCAGCGGCTTCGGACCCGAGAAGACTGCGGCTTCCGCGGGTATGCCATAATGACTGGAGCGGGCCATGGACACCAACCGGTCCTTGTTTTTGCTGTGCTTTGTTTACGAAAATCTCCCCAGCGAGAAATTGGCGTTCCATCTCAAGGGTATCGGGTGATTGGGACGGTTAACAGGAGTCTGGATATTGCATTGATCGGGGGTTTTGCTTTAATTTTCTGGTACTATTTGCTTGTGGCGGCCTTCGCAAAACCTATTTATTTCCCATGAAATCGAAGTTGTGCTCACGAAATCGCTACCTTCATTAATTTACTGAGGACAGGTGACCTGGATTTAGTACGCAGGCCATCGCGCAGTGCATTTGCAGATCACCTTCCATCCTTTGATAGGTGCTGCCTCCTGCGCAGTGGGAACGGGAATTCAAGCACGTGTACAATATAGGGATTGCGAAATGGGTCCATAACGCGGTTTCGATAACAAGTTCGGGTTTATTAAGCCACAAAAAAGCATATGGAATAAACTAGGCATGCATATGTGTGTGCATACATTTTACTCCGTAGTAGCCTGTAGTTCCTGGAAATAGAGAAAGCTTGATAGAAAGAAGCGTTAAAGTTCACTGCTAATTATTACGGCAAATGCAAAAGAAAGACGGGAAGACCTCACAGAGTGAATCACGGAGTATTCCAGCTGTTGTGCAACTGTCCCTTGAGCGAGTCGGTGTGAGGTGTAAAGAAGGGTTACCGAATTAGGAAATGCCGGGCTTGAAGGTATGAGATTTCAGTAAGCTCATGTGGTCCATTCCTCCCTAAAAATAAAATGAAATTCGGGGCTCAGTGGATTTAAGGTGGAACACGGTCTGGGGCAAGGGGGCCCTCGGGACGCCGAGAAAGGAGAAGACGAGTTATCGCACTTGTCACCCACAATTTCTTCAGCGGACATCTAGAATTAAGAGCCTTCAGAAGTCTCGAAATATTCACATACAGAGGATTGCCAAAGAAATTAGGAAATGCACCACGTTTCCAAGGCGTTAATGCCGAGTTTTGTCTCATTGGGGGAGGCCGGCATTCCGCATCTGCACGGGGAGCTTCAGCTTCACGGGATCTTCTGATCTTCTAACTATTCAGCCCCTCGACTCGGAACAAGATCAGGGATCGGCATGGAAAAAAGAAACAGATTCTAAGCCAATCACGCTCACAGACGATCAATTGTGATGGACAACCGTGCATAACTCCCGCCAGGTGGGCCATTCCATCGAAGCTCCTATCGAAGTCTTACCGTCTTCGGCCCAAAGGTCACGATATTCCTTCTGGATGGCAGTGGGGCCCCCTTTCCCCGATGTCCCATCTCCATGGCTAATCAGAGCTTCGATGACAAGTGCAGGCCTTACCGTGGATGTTCTCGGTCAACCAAAGTACCTGGGTCTATCAAAGTAATGGTGAAAGCAGTTATCCACTCGGTCACGCGCAACTTGAATTGATTTTTTCCCTGTTAATCTTTATGCAGGTTCTTATTGTTCTCGGTAGGCTCTCTAAGGAAGTGCCGTTCTAGCTCTCTGGACATATAAATTTATCACACTGATGCCATGAATGGGATATCGTGAATTCTTCGGTTGTACTGGGACTTCTTGTTGTTTCTCGTTTTACGGCTATCGATATTAATACTATCCCCTCTTCCTCCCACTCTATATACCCCAAGTCACTCCCTTGGCTATGTCTTTCATTCCTCGAGTATTGGCGCCCGCTCGTACACGGCTAGCTGGGGTTGCCGTCACTACGTCCCATTCTCTCTTTTTATCATCAGCTCGCTTGTACTCGATCAAGAACTCGTTCAGTCCCCAAGATGTCCACAATGTAACTCACAGCCCGGACCACATCCAATCAAAAATGCCAGCGAAAGAGCTTTTGCGCAACCAGCACCGTTTTAGCGAGTTTGATCTCGAGGGCCGAGTATATGCCATCACCGGCGGTGGGCGAGGATTGGGGCTGTCAATGGCGGAAGCATTGATCGAGGCCGGGGCAAAAGGTATTTATACCCTCATTTCCCCCTCCGATGTTAAAATGAACGAATGCTAACGCAATGTCAAATGACTAGTGTATTGTCTGGACCGCCTCGAATCTCCACATCCAGACTTCCTAGTTGCTCAGAAAAGGGCCCATGACGACTACGGCGGCAGTTTGGAGTACATCCGCATCGACGTACGCAACAACACCGAAGTCAACGAGGCATTTGCAGCCATTGCAGCGCAGGGAGAGAGATTGGACGGTTTAATCGCCGCAGCGGGAATCAACCACCTCCAAAGTGCACTGGAGCACTCCGAGCAGGCCTTGGACGACGTGATGTCGATAAATTATAATGGAGTTTTCAACTCGGCCACCGCTGCAGCCCGCCAGATGTTCAAATACCAACAGAAGGGCTCGATCCTACTAGTAGCCAGCATGAGCGGCCTCATTGCCAACAAGGGCATGACCTCACCCGTGTACAACTCTTCCAAGGCGGCTGTTATCCAGCTAAGTCGTTCGCTCGCTATGGAATGGGGTCGTCACGGCATTCGTGTAAACAGTCTGTGCCCCGGCCATATCATAACTCCGATGGTGGACGAGGTATTCAAGCAGAATCCCGCTGCTAGGGCTGTTTGGGAAGCAGAGAACATGCTTGGTCGCCTGGCGATGCCCGAGGAGTTTCGCGGCACGGCACTTTTTTGTCTTTCTGATGCGAGCAGCTTCATGACAGGAAGCACTTTGGTTATTGATGGAGGACACACTGCTTGGTAAGCAGCATTCTCACCTAGCACAATATGTGCACAAAAGATATGAATATAGCTGGCGAAAAAAATCGAAGGAGGGTTCTGGCGTTGGTGATATTTGTACAATAAGACTAACCACCTTCGTGTGAACCGTGTGCCTCGGAACTTAGGTACCCTAAGAGGAAGGAGGCTGTTTAGGCAAGCACTTATAGGTACCTAGGTACGTACCTACAACATAGGTTGCTATACGTACCATTTTTCTTCTGTAGATAGCAATAGCCATATACGATGCAATAGTCATCATCGATGCTGACTACGACTGTGAATGTACTGCTGTAGCTCTGATCCCCACTTTGGCAACACTATCGACAATGGTGCGGGCTGCTTTTCTCCTCGTTGCCAAACGTCTGGATCAAGAGTGCGAATTTTAGTGCAATGTGGCAGTCGGAGTCTGTTGTCCTCTGGAATCCCTTCCTCTTCTAGTCTCTCAATAGCGCGGAACTGCTCAGGATTCGCTGCTTGACGAAGTAGAGCCCAAAATTCTGCGTCGGACACTTGCCACAACACGCTATCATCTATAGACCCTGCCTTCACTAGTTCGCCTATCACCCGGCCCGTCCGTTGATATATGTCGATGTGGGCCGGACTTGACCAGACATCTTTGTCGGCAGTGATGTATGCGCGAGAAAGAACCAGCGCTATACGGGGATCGTCCAGAACCAGCAGACGGCGGCTCGCTGTAGCACTGGGAAACGCCTTCAGTGAGCCGACAACCCTTCTGGCGTCTTCCATGGCAAGCTTGCCGAAGCTGACGGTGTCGCGTAAAGCATAGTCTAGGCGATCAGCACACAGTTGAGGTGTTGGCATCTCTACTAAAGGGAACAGTTCTTCTTCGAAAACCTTCTGGTTAATCTCATGTCTGGCGAGGATGTCCGGCAGTCGTGTCGTCTCAAGGTACCGTGTCTTGTGTACCTCGTGATAGCTTCCTTCCCCAGGCTTGGAGAGGGCGTGATCAATGACGTGACTGAGGTTGGTATGAGAGATGTCATGGAGAAGAGCAGCGATTTGTTCTTCAATCGTGGCACCAACTCTTCGCACAAGTATAAACGCACCGACCGAATGTTCGAGCCGTGTGACTCGCGGTGTCAGGCCCAAGAATCCAGTGACTCCATGCTGGCAGATGCCTTGCAGTCGCTGCAGCTCTGGGCTTTGAAGAAGCTCTACGAGAACTGGCTCATGGACCAGTTCCTCTCCGTATATTTCATCTCGGATCAAGATGCTATGATTCTCGATGAGTTGGTGTGTCTGGAGGACACCAGCGCTGGTAGGAGATGACATCTCTGTTGGACCAATATATATTCCAAAATTGATAGAAGCAACCGAAACAGGATGATTAGAAAGTATGTGCGTGGTCGAGGAAGGAGCGTGCGATAGGTTGAGGAATCGCAAGCACTATTCAGTAATACAGCAAACGGGGGCAGCCATTGAAACGGCCCGATACGGGCTTGGCGTTCGAGGCTTCTTACATGTGCATGCGTTGCTTATGGCTTACTGTGCTCAGATCTCGGTCCCCGCCCTCGCCCCTAGCGGCGAGTTGAATAGTGGCATAGCCGCAGAATAATAAAACTAATAATAAATGTGGGCCAACTATCAATTTGCCTCTCAGCTAGAGGCGAAATAACTAGGATCGACCGCCATATTGATGACACCAGCCTTTCGTTGAGGGGACAACGGTCAAAAGTTCTCGCGAACAACTGCATTTGGATGTAACGTGGTGCATTTTATTCAGTTGAGCTGCTGCTCTCGCGCTTTGCTTTAGTGAGCAACCTTCTAAGGTTGGAAGTCCTTGAGCTTATGCAATAATCAAGTCGTCCACCCGCAGACTCCCCAGGGCCAGACTGTGAGCGCCCGGCCCCCGGGGAATCCAGCTCATATAACAATCAAGTGATGGCCGGGGATGCTCAGTGAGCCCGGGGCGAGCCTGTTGATTATATAATACTCAGTGAGTAACTAACTAACTAACTACCTAAGGTAGTTAACTAGGTAAAAAGCGGCAAAGCCTGAGCACTAAAATGGAAAGATAAGGCTAATAAGTGGCAGAGGAAATCAAGTATGTACCTAGGTAGGTAGGTATCCTCGTAGTAGTATTTCTTTTCTCTTTCTTCTTCTCTCGTATAGCAGGGCTTTGCTCCTATTGGCTCCTATAGAGCGAAAAAAAAAAAAAAAAACCCATCTATTCAACTGCTAAGATCTATAGCCAACTTCTATATAAAAGTGTCAAAGGCGGAAATAAGATATTAAAGTCAATA